GCACAGCAAAAGAAACTATCATCAGAGTGAACAGGGAACCTACAGAATGGGAGAAAAACTTTTGCAGTCTACTCATCTGACAAAGGTCTAATATCCAGAATCCACATGGAACTGAAACAAATTTACGAGAAAAAAAACAACCCCATCAAAAAGTGGGCAAAGAATATGAAGAGACACTTCTCAAAAGAAGACATTTATGCTGCCAAAAAAAAAGGAGGTATTTATGCGGCCAAAAAACATAGGAAAAAATGCTCATCATCACTTATCATTAGAGAAATGCAAATCAAAACCACAATGAGATACCGTCTCACGCCCGTCAGAATGGTGATTATTAAAAAGTCAGGAAACAACAGATGCTGCCGAGGCTGTGGAGAAATAGGAACGCTTTTACACTGTTGGTGGGAATGTAAATTAGTTCAACCACTGTGGAAGACAGTATGGCAATTCCTCAAGGACCTAGAACCAGAAATACCATTTGACCCAGCAATCCTATTACTGGGTATATACCCAAAGGAATATAAATCATTCTACTATAAAGACACATGCACACATGTTTACTGCAGCACTATTTACAATAGCAAAGATATGGAACCAACCCAAATGCCCATCAATGATAGACTGGATAAAGAAAATGTGGTATATATAAACCATGGAATACTATGCAGCCATAAAAAAGAATGAGTTCACGTCCTTTGCAGGGACACAGATAAAGCTGGAAACCATCATCCTCAGCAAACTAACACCAGAACAGAAAACCAACCACCACATGTTCTCACTCATAAGTGGGAGTTGAACAATAAAAACACATGGACACAGGGAAGGGAACATCACACACCAGGGCCTGGGGCCTGCTGCTGGGGGGTGGGGGGACAAGGGGAGGGAGAGCATTTAGGACAAATACCTAATGCATGTGGGGCTTAAAACCTAAATGATGGGCTGACAGGTGATGCAAACCACCATGACACACGTATACCTACGTAACAAACCTGCACATTCTGCACATGTATCCCAGAACTTAAAAGTAAAATTATAAAAAAAAAAAAAAAGCCCACTGTGCTCCACTTGATACAATAAATCAATTCCTGGGAATCATGTAAATCAGTGTAACAGTAAAAAGTGACATAAACCATTTTCATACTAACCTACGTTGTAATTTCAGATAGCCACAGCAGGGAATACTACTATTCCTGATACTTACCAAAAACATTTTAGTATGCAGCAAAATCTAATAAGCATATACAATAGCACAATCTTACATTAAATTTTACTGCTTCCTCCAAAGGGAAACAGCTTGAAAACACAGAAGTCACTGAAACTTCCTTCAGCTACTTTCTGTGATTCAACCAATGAAACTGTTTCTTATAATGATTCATAGCATTTTCTTACACATTTAAACAATTCTTTGGTGACGCAGAGAACCATTTTAATTCTTGTTTTTCAACTTTCTAATAATCTTATATTAAGTACACCAGTAAACAAAATTCTGATTGCAAATGCAGATGTATATCACACATACAGAAAACTTTTTCTCCTTTATCTATTTAGAGACTGAGTCTCGCTCTGTGGCCCAGGCTGGAGAGCAGTGGTGCAATCTTGGCTCACTGCAACCTCTGCTTCCCGGGTTCAAGCGTTTCTCCTGCCTCAGCCTTCCCAGTAGCTGGGATTACAGGTCCGGCTATTTGTGTGTGTGTGTGTGTGTGTGTGTGTAGAAACGGGGTTTCACCATGTTGGTCAGGCTGGTCTTGAACTCCTGACCTCGTGATTCGACCCCCTTGGCCTCCCAAAGTGCTGGGATTACAGGCATGAGCCACCGCACCCAGCCACGTTTTTTCCTTGATTACTTTTTGTTTTTGAGACCGAGTCTCACTTTGTTGCCCAGGCTGCAGTGCAGTGGCCCGATCCCAACGCACTGCAACCTCCGCCTCCCAGGTTCAAGCAATTCTCCTGCCTTAGCTTCCCAAGTAGCTGGGATTATAGGCACACGCCACCACCTCCAGCTAATTTTTGCATTTTTCTTAGAGACAGGATTTCACCATGTTGGCAAGGCTGGTCTCAAACTCAAGTGATCTGCCCACCTTTACTACTTCTTTAGTATCTTCTTTTCAATCTAGGTACATACATACATATATGTATATTAAGTAGTATTCTACATTTTCTTCTACTATAATTTGTATTGCTCTTTGTCATTTAGATTTCCTGTTTTTTTTAGCCTATGAGGCAGAAAACATTTTTAAAACATGGATAACCAGTAGTCCTAGCACCACGTATTGAACAAGCCACTCTTTCTCCAATAGACTACAATGTTGTTTTTACCACATACTTTTACCACATATTTAGCCACCTTGCTGGCTAAGTGAACTTAAAAGTTATTGTATCTCTGTTTCAATTTCTTCACCAAAAAGTAGAGATAATAGTTCACTTCATAGGGTTACTGTAGGAATTAAATAAATTAAGCACTTAGAACAATACCTGACATGCATTAATACCAATGATCATAATTACTAAAAGTCCATAAATGCACAGATGTTTCTGGACTCCCTGGTTCCTGAACTGACGGGCTGCTTTAAATGTGAATTTCTAACAAGTTTCCTGATAGGGCCTTCTTTTTCCAGAATTTTGTGGCTATCATTTTATCAGGTAGGTTTTCTTATCAATATGTCAAGTTTTCTACAATACGACACTAGAAGACACTGACTTGGGGAAAATTAGTAAATTCTACAACAGTGACCGTCTCCATCTGGAAAATATATTGTTTCATCTCGTTTTTTCAGACTTCACTTTATGTCCTTCATTAAGATTCCAGTAGCTCACCAATATTTGTTATATTTATTTCTAGGTAGTCTTTATAGAGAAAGATTTAGTAGTGTATATCAGCATTTAAACTGCACATAGCCTTTGCCTCAGTAATTCCATTTTTAAGAATCTGATATGCACTAATATATGTGCACAGATATAAAAAGGCTACTATACCAACAGCAAAATCCTGGAAACAAATTATCAATAAAGCAAAGATACTCTAAACAGCAGCATATTCATAGGATGACAAACTATTCAACCATTACGAAAAAAAAAAAAAAAGAATCAAAAGCACGGGCTTATTAGACAGGAGTTTTCCAAACTATTACGCTAAAACAAAAAACAACAAGCTCCCAAATTAATATTGCTGCTGCTTTTTTTTTTTTTTTTTTTTTTTTTAACTGAGCGGGGGTGCAGAAAACAAAAGCATCATACGTAAAGCACTGAGTCCAGCCTGGCTCTTAGTAAGCATTTTAACCACCTTCAAAAATTAAATGTGACTTAGGGAAACAGGTCACTAAATATTATTTCATTTCATCTATTTATTTATGGCCTGTTTTGCTCTATATAAAATTCTGAGGTGGCTCCATAATACAGCATCCTAAAAAATAAGCTTTCAACTTGCATTTTACTCGTAAATATTTAGAACGCAAAAAACATCCCTACAATGTAATATTTTCAATATGCCATACAAATCTCAATACTATAATTCAAGAAAACAAGTACTCCTTCTCCTTCTAAATCACCTTACTGCGGCAATCCACTGAAAACGTATTTCTCTCCATACTTGAAATAACCTCTTAAAAGTGTGTTGTCTTGCATATTAAGTAGCAGAGATCACACTTCAGGAACAAAGTGACATTCTGTGTAATACGGAAACAAAGCCTTTCCTCCTAGGAAAGGAAGCCCCAGAAAAGATAAATAATGGGAGCTTATTTTAAAACCAAAGCAAAATGTTGCCTTTTATCCTAAATCTCTGGATAAAGTATTACCTTTAGCTTGTTCTTCATCTATATAAGGTCAAAAAGGTACAAGTTAAATTTTTCTTAAACGAAGAATAGTATATCCCTTAAAACGATCTATTCATTAATAAGTGTAACCTCTAGCTTCTCCCAGCCAGCAAACAAGCTTCTGTGAGAGTTCAACAGTTTCAGAGGCGTATTATTCCTGCTCGCAGATGTTACGAGTAAGCATTTCAAACAAAACTGCACACATAAAACCACTATCTGCCCAAGTATCTCGACACTATTTTAAGTAATGAATTGATTTTCTTTAAAAGGCAGATTTTTACTGCTCACATTTCTGTATTCCTTTAATTGTTTGAAATAGCAAGTACTACTTTATATAAAAAATTAATATACAAAATGAGAGAAGGATTCTGTTTTTCAGGAATTTTGGCTTTTTAATGTAATACACAAGTCAGTTTCCAAGCAATGGGAAAATGGAATATTTCAGAGCACATGGGAAAAGTGATAGGAAGAATGTTACTTTTTTTTGGCTGAACTCACCGGTCTTTACTAATTTTTAAGAGCTCATCCTATTATCCATTCGTAGGAATACTTTGTATTACTTTTGAAAGTTTAATTCAAGTTAAATTACTAAATGTTAAAGAGGTTATTTTCAAAGTTACCTTAAATAAGTCACACGGCATGAAAGAAACGCGACCTACTACGCCTCACAGGCTGAGTGGAGTGTTTTGCAGTCTCAAAGCCTTATCGCTGGCGTGTGCATACCGCAGGGAGTGACATCAGATCGAAACTACAAGGTTTCGCCGGGGACCAACCACTCCTCCAAAGACAGCAGCTCCCGGTCAGCTGGAGGTGGCACCCCAAGCCCCGACCCACCGAGGGCCGGCTCACGGCCGCCGCAGAACCCTCACCGGAGCCGAGTTTCTCCGCGAGGGACCTGTTGCGCGTCCCCGCCCTCGGCGAACCGCAGCCAGGAACGAGCGCCGGCAGCGATGCACCTGCCCAGGACGGCGGCCGGGCGCCCGCAGCCCCCTCCCCGGCCGTCCCCAGCTCGGCCCGCGCCGCCCCCGCCCGAGGGTCTCCCCGCGGCCCGCGGCCCCGCGCCAGCCCTGCCCACCCCGCCGCCCCGGGGCCCAGGTAGCCGCCGGCGAGGGAGGGCGGGACGCCGGCCCGATGCCGGCAGGCGGGCGGCGGCGCTCGGCTCGGTCCGGCCCTGGCGGCCGCGGAGGCGCTCACCTTGGCGGCCGCAGCTCTGGCGGACATCTTGTCTCTCTCCAGCGCCGCGCGAGGCTCCTCGGACCCGAAACTCCGCGGCGCCGGCCCTCCCGCTCCTCACGCCACAGCCCAAATAAACATCTCCCGAGAGCGAGCGGGGCAGGGGCGGGGGCGGCCGGAATGGCCCGGCCCACGGGGAGGGAATTCAACTCGGACAAAAGTCCGGGAAGCGCCCGCCCCGCCCGGGTCTTCTCCACGGGGCGCGCCCGACCGGCACCTCCCTCCGAGCGCGGCCACCCGCTCGGCCTCCCGCAGCTTTCGCAGCCCGGCCACGTCGGCCCCGCCCGGTCGCCCGCCCCTCGGCAGCACCCGTGGCCTCCCGGCGTCTCCTCGGAAGCCGACTTCCGCACGTAACTTCCCGGGAACCGGCGGCCGCCAAGAACGCGGCGTCCGCTGGCTCAGCCGGCGCCGGCAACTCAGCGGCCACGCAAACCTGCCGGCCCGGCCCACTGAGCATGCCCGGCCCGACGTGGGCGGGGCTGGACCAGGCGAGGCAAGGCGGGGCGGGGCGGGGCGGGGGCGGGACCGCGGCGGGGGAGGGGGCGGGGCGAGCGGCCGGGGTCCGACCCCAGGCGCGGAAGGAAAAGCCGGGTAACCCAAGTAACTTGGAAAGACAGTTTCCGCTGCCGTGCGAGTCTTCCTGTTTGTTTTTATCCAAGGTCCGGCAGAATTCGCCCCAAGGAGAAAGCGCCTGTGCACCAAAGCTTTCCTTGAGAGACTTGTCCAGTTGCTCCTCGACAAGCCACGCTGGATGAGCCCCAGGCATGAGTGCGGCTGGAAAGGCCGGCAGAGCCGATACCCGACAGTTGTTTCCTTCACTGGGCAAACAGCATGGTCACGGCTGTCACCGCGTGCCTGGGCGTTGTTTCCACGGAAGGCGGAATGCATTTTCTGCAAGGCGCGTCATGGCTTTCATCTCCGAGGAGCTCCAGCAGGGTCAGAGCATTGCTTTCGTTCACCAGCGCCGACTGCCAAGGCTGAAACTGGTGATGAGGTCATGGGCACCCGGAGGCAGCAGCCTGAGACACACCCTAGAGACCTGTGCCATCTCGGCCCACACCCCACATTAGACCTCAAGATATATCCAAAGTCTCTTTCCCGCCCATCTAGACAGGAATCTCAAAAGTTTATTTTTGACCATCAAGATTGCTGAAATTCTTGTTAACTGAACGGGTCAAGCTGCCCTGCATTCCAAACGCTGTCCCTGCAACTCAAAGTTGGGCAGAAAAGGGTGTAAAACGTGCAGTCCATGGTTCAGTGTAATCAGCCACTACACAAACTTCCCACAATGTTGACGGCTGTGCTAAACACCAAGGGACATGGTAAGAAACCATTCCTAGCCTCACTAATCTACACTTGTAAATGTAAAGGTCTTCAAAAATGCCAGAAAGTCTTAGTAACATAATGATAACATATTTAAAGTATCTGGTATAGTGCCACAACCGGCACAGAAGAAATGGAAGAAAGCATAAACATCAGGTTTTAGACAATGGTTTTCTCTTTAGAATTCAACTGTATGAAAAGAACAAATTTGACAAAGAAATACGTGTAGATGACACATAAATATCAATTAAGGCTTCGAAGTAAAATGCCACACATCTTGCAATTCAAAGCCATCTGAACTAGAAAAGAGCCATTTTGTTCTCAATAAAAATGGTTGAAGTCATTTTTGTTTTAAAGTCATGTTGTAATTGTTTTGGTTTTGGACAAAGCATTTATTCTTTTAAGAATTGTGGGCCGGGCCTGGTGGCTCACGCCTGTAATCCCAGCACTTTGGGAGGCCGAGGCGAGCGGATCACTAGGTCAGGAATTCGAGACCAGCCTGGCCAATATAGTCAAACCCTGTCTTTACTAAAAATACAAAAATTAGCCCGGTGTGGTGGCGCGTGCCTGTAGTCCCAGCTACTCCGGAGGCTGAGTCAGGAGAATGGCGTGAACCCGGGAGGCGGAGGTTGCAGTGAGTCGAGATCGCGCCACTGCACTCCAGCCCGGGTGACAGAGCAAGACTCCGTCTCAAAAAAAAAAAAAAAAAGAAAAAAAGAATTGTGGCCAGGCGTAGTAGCCCACGCTTATAATCCCAGCACTTGAGGCCGGGCGCAGTGGCTCACGCCTGTAATCCTAGCACTTGAGAGGCCAAGGCAGGCAGATCACTTGAGGTCAGGAGTTTGAAACCAGCCTGGCCAACATGGTGAAACCCCATCTTTACTAAAAATATAAAAGAAAAGTAGCCGGGCATGGTGGCGGACGCCAGTAATCCCAGCTATTTGGGAGGCTGAGGCAGGAGTATCGCTTGAACCCGAGAGGTGGAGTTTGCAGTGAGCTGAGATCGAGCCATTGCACTCCAGCCTGGGCAAAAAGAGCAAAACTCTGCCTCAAATCATCATCATCATCATCATCATCATCATCATCATCATCATCATCCCAGCACTTTGTGAGGCCAAGACCAGAGGATTATTTGAGGCCAGGAGTTTGAGACCAGCCTGGGAAACAGTGAGACCCTATTTAAAAAAAGAAAAAAGAAAAAAAAAAGATTGTGATTAAATTTCCTCATGTGCAAACACCATTTAAAAAGGTTTGGGAGGTATTTTTTAATTTTAAAAGGTGGTGATGAAAGACCTTCACATTATCTTTACCATTTACGATGTGCAATTGCATAACCTGCCTAGAACTAGGTGTGGTGTCTTTAATAGCACCTAAATTGAGAGACGTATCTACAAATACACTGACATTTTTTCACTTTTCCTTCTTTGTCACTTTTACAAGTTGTCCAATGTGTAATTTAAATGCTAGATTGCAACTATTTGTCACTAATTAAAAATAGTTACATATTTAACAGTTTCACCTTTGCCATGGTTTAAAAAATGAAATCAAGAAAAAATATTTCATCATGAGAATCCTGTTCTTTAAAAATTATATTTAGTATTTCAGTGACTAATAGTATCACTTTAAAATTTTTCAATGGTATTTTTAATATCTAAATTAAACTCCATAAAGTCTGTTCTTTTCTCTAGATAAACAAGAGAAGGTTTTTATCAGCTGTAAAATAAAGGTAAAATACTGTTGCCAACAATTAAAAACAAAGTTCTATTCCTACAGTTTATTTTTTGGGTAGGTGCTTTGATAACAAGTGGAAAGCATAAAGCATTATCTGAAAGAATCACCCTTTTAACAATTAAAGAGTTTATCCATGGAACACCAAAAAAGTATTTTCTGACTTTTATGCTTACATATGCATGTCATCATAGCTCCTCTAGATCAATATGGGAAGAAATACAAGTTAATTAAGGATTCTCATTTAGAGTTACAATAATGTTTAACCACAAATCTCTTTCGATTGTACGGATTTATCTTATTTCTGATCATTTTTGCAACTGAACAGGAAACTAAAAAACCACAACACTTAAAAGACAACTTCCTGTGGGATTTTTGGTGTCTGCGGCTCAGAATGAAAAAAGCATTATGTGTGCAAAATCTTTACACATTTTAGATACAACTACTTAATAAAACAGCCTTGACCAAATGAACAACTATATCCACGCCTAATTTGTGCATATGTATATTGATGGTTTTAATTGCAAAAAAAGATCCTTATGAAAGCATATTTATGTTATTTTTATATGAACTGTGAGTTTACGTTTGACATACAAAGAGGAAGTATTTATTTACGGTAGTAGAGCATGAGACAATCTCGATAATGTCACAGAAGAGAATATATACAAAATATTAGGAGAAGCACTTTACCAAGATGTTATAACAACCAAAAGTAATCCTGATCTCACTCCTAGGCCATACCATTAAAGATTCTACAAATTGTTACAGAATTTTCCTCTGCCAATAAAGTCATGTAACAATGTTAAATGGGGGAAAAATTCTTTTAAGGCTCATAATGTTTCTAAATTTCATAGACCAATAAAAATTTTAAAAACATCTTAGAGATGCATTATAGGAGTACCAACTTTTTAATCTTACATAGTAAAAACATTTTAAAACAAACATTATAAACTGTATATGTAAAGATAATTAAAATGGCAAATTTTATATTATGTACATATTACCACAGTTTAGAAATACAAAAAGAAAGCTATTACCAACACCATTTCTTTTTTTTTTTTTTTTTAAAGAACACATAAACACTAAAAAATAAGTCTTTTTTAATTCAATTCAGTATACAGAAAGTTATCCCTCAAAAGAATTCCTCCTTTGGGGCTACCCTTTCCTCTGCTTGGGGCAAGGTGGAGCTTTCTTTATTCAGGGTCCTAAATATTGCACAACCAGGCAGGTCGGAAGTTCCGTAAATCCATGACTGGAATCCAGGCAGGCTGGCATATAGGCCTCTGGCTCATCTCTCAGAGGTTTTTCCTCCATTCTTCACAGCTCCTCCACTCTGAGCTACACTTTCCTATGATTCCTTTAAGACTCCCTCCCCAGCCCAGGCAAAACATCTCATCTCATAATCCATAGAGAAAACAGACATTAAGGAATAGAAACTCCCTTCCCTTCCTGCCAAAACACTGACGAGCCTACCCTGGGCATCTGCTTTTCCTCTCCATCTTCCCCCCAAGGGTTACGAATCCCGTCTGGGGGGCTGACCCTCTCAGCTGTGTCCTCTTTCTCTATCATCTTCATCCTGTCATTAGCTAATGAATTCTACCTCTGAGAATTCAAGCTTCCTCTAGTGTTCCCCATCTTAAACACAGGGCTCCCCAGGCTACCTACCAAGGCGTGCACTACTGCAGGTGTACAAGACCCCAGGGCAGAAGGGCTTGCAGTTTGGGTTTAATGTGGTTGCTGTCTTGAATTGTAAGGACTTTTCGTTTTGGATTTGTGTTTTGTAAGTGAAGGTCAATGGGAAAATGAGGCACACACTGGGGGACTGGGGCCTCTGCTCTCACAGGGTCCTGTCGCCTCCTAGGAGGGTATCTGAGCTGCCCGCTCCCACAGCTCTTGATACCCCTGCTGGTCCTCTCCCACTCTGCTCCACTGCCACTGCTGAAAGGGATCCAAGCAAGGAGTGGGGTTTGAGTATGCATACCCACAGCGTCTTGAGTGCACAAAAGCCCCAAACAGGCAGTATCACTCTGTGTGGTGGCTGCCTGGTTGGAGACCATGTCTTGGTGGGGTGAACCGTTGGTCCAGCCTGAGTTCCAGATCCAGTCATGGAGGTTTAAGAATTCTTGGTGGTTACCATCTGCTGTGGGTTGCAGCAATAGTCTTGTGGCTCAAAGTCCCCAGACCCTGTCCCCAGCAGGGCATTTAGGTCAGGAGGTATGCTTGAATGTCATCACAGCAAGCTATCAGGTCCAGCACACATTAGTGGGACCCCAGGGCCCTATGAGGGTCTGTACTTGCCTCATTACCCACCCCCGATCCCCTGGGGCCTCAGGGCCAGAGGGTTCCCTGGGCTGTCTCCCTGCCTGGGGATGGGATCCTCCCCCTGCTTCC